AATATAACCGTCTGAATGAATCCACAACGAAGTGGGTATGGGTGTGGATGTGGGTGTGAGGGTGTGGGTGTGGGATGTGGGTATGGGTGAGGATGTGGGTATGGCGTGGGTGTGGTTGCAGGCGTGGATGTGGATATGGTAGCTCTACGAATACATACCCACACAAACCATACCCTTGCCCACACCCACACCCACACTCACACCCACACTCACACCCACATCCACGCCCACACCCACACCCAGACTTTTTTTTTCGAATCCTGGGAAGACTCCAGGGGAAAGCCTCACTTTGAAATTTCCCAAAACTCGGTCGTAGGAAATACTTCTAGTGGCTCCTTGACACCTCTCAGATAGATAAAAACGAAAACAAATCGTGGACAAAAAATGGCCTGATTGCAACATATCCTTTCTACATTTAATTGTAATGCGCTCGCGTATGTAAGTATTAGTGTGCATTTTTTCATCGTAACGACAGCACGTGCAAAGAAAAGTGAAAAAAAGCAGAATATTGAAAGAACGAAATAGATGCGACGATGAGCACACTGATGAAAAAACACTGCCTACCTGATGAAAATGTCATGCTTCACTGGTTCACGTAAACATGTTTAGGTGGGAAAAAACCAAGTAATTTCGTCACCGATAAATACGAAGCAAAATTGATTACAAACACACAAAACAAACTTGCACACTCCATATTACTCAATACGTAAGTACGTTTAATTTCTAGCATTATTAGACTAGTGATCGAATTCAAGCTGTAAGTTCAGAGTAACTACTAACGAGAAAACATGGCGGGATATAGAAATGGGGCATTTCAATTGCCAGAAATCTATTTCAAGAAAGTTCGACCGACGACACTGAGCATATCCGATTAATAATCTTGATTGCCACAGCTCTTCCACGTAAAATAGTCCAACCACAAGTCATGCCAAACAGAATGTCCTTTGAAATGCCTAGACTTTACTGAGAATTATAGTGGTACATAACACGAATCTCATTTTTAAGTGGCTAACATAGCAGGGGTATAGGTGTGGGATGTCGTTGTGTGAGTATGGGGTGAGAGTGTTACTGTGGGTGTGGAGTGAGGATGGGTGTGGGTGTGGATGTCTGTGTTCTCATCTTCCTTACAGCCGTCTCCTCCACTCCCACATCCACACCCATACGCATACACCCATACGCATACACCCATACGCATACACC